CAGAATGCTCAAAACGCAAATGTCTCCTCAAAGCAATCAACAACAAAATCAGTCACTGGCGTTAAATTGGTTACTCGAACCACTCTTCCTAAAGCAATCTGCGTACCTAAATAAGAAAAATTCATGCCTTAAGTTTAACATCATTACCTCCCCTCTTCGTCGTTCCTTAGAATTCCCTTGGCCCCGACAAAAGTCAAATGGGGCTGTAAACTAAACCTACAAAGTCACCCTTACGCCAAACATTCTAATCAACAGTCTATCTCTTTGGATCCTCAAACAACAAGTAGCACCTCTTGATACTATAAACACAACTTGAAATACAACCCCATTCCACAGCTTTCAAATTCTAAACACAATCTATTTGGTACATAGTACCTACCATTTATCACTTCATCTATAGCCAACCAAGCACTTCAATTACCCCATACTACCTGCCTTATTGTGCAATCCTACACTACACGGCCAAAACTTTCCACTATACACTACCTTGAGAATCTCTCGACAACCGTGCCAACCTATGATCCCACTCATCAACCGTGCCATGCAATCAACCCCCTAAGAGTCAATTACCTACAACATAATCCTGTAGCTTTTCGAAATGAAAGCCACTCCTCAACCAATCAATCTCTAGAACAACTCTTACAAGACCTCAATGATCACATCCAACAATTGGTTACTCAGTACTGGTATGACTTCAGTTAATGCCCAAGCCATCCTAGACTTACAGAGTCCAACAAATTCCCTTACCAACCATAACCAACCTGCTTCCTTAGACAATACTTAAAATACACTTCTACACCCCATTAACTACACTCATGACTCTAGCAACCTCTATCATACCCATCACAAACCGGTTTGAAAAGAACCTTCGTACCAAACGGTGACCCAAGTAACAAACACTAACCCCTAAAAGTCATACATACCTCACGAAAACCTCACATCGTATACCTAACCTCCATGATCACAGGAACCTATGCACTAATACATGACTAACACATGAAACTCATACATCTTACCCTAGACACCGCACTGTGCCATATGCAATCATTTGAATGTTGTGCCCCAAATACTACACTATGAAACTAATGGAAAGACTAAGATAACTGCACAACCGAATAGCTCAATCCACGAGCGAAAGACCTATGCCATTCATTCGATAAGAACTGGCACCCAAATAACCCTGGAGCAACTGAGCTCCTCGCCTACTCGAGTTAAAACCCACACCACCATTCATGTCGCAACAAGTACTCTAACATACCGTCAACCATCCCATACTCAACCGCATACTCCTATACACGTATACACACACACACACACACATATATATATAATAACTGTATCCCATACCATGATACAATCGTGTTCTTTCAGTTTTTTTAAAAAAATACTTGCGTAAACCATGCCTAAATACCCGTCACAATACCATACGAAACATACTTGCATATATTGTGCTAACTAATTACTATATTATTATTTAAAATAAAACTGCACAAACTGTGCCTACCACTTGCCATTACCATGCACCTCATACTTGTCATCTGATCATAATTGATATGCTTTCCATCATTATCATATAATTGTTCCTTATACATGGCCATGACATTTAAACACATAAACATGTGAACACTTAACAAGTAAGTATGCCTTTCAAAACCGTAAATACATGATTAATTAAGCGAATAAGTATGCTTCTTAAATAACAAACACTTTAACACATAGGCACATAAACAATGCAATTCAAATTTCACCCAGCCCTAGGTAGGCCTCAATTCGTCATCCTAATGATTTTCGAACCATCGCTCTGATACTAAATTTGTAACGACCCGAACCCGAGGGTCCGAATCGCTAACCGGGTCCTTACTCGAACCCGAGGTCATCTAAGTCAATATCGTCATCTTCAATGTTAAGACACTATATACACAACATAACAGGGTCAACACGTCATATACAAGCTCTATGATGGTCCAAGGTAACATCCCATGACTTAGGGATAGACACCTCAGAAAAAAGGGATAAGAAGTACAGAGGAAGGGTATACCAGTCGATCGAAGTGGGGCTTCAGTCATTTGAAATGGCTTTGTACTGGTCGACCGAAGCTGGTCTACCGGTTTGTCGGATATGACTCTGAAAATGATATGGCTACTGGAATACGACCCCAAAAGGTACCGGTCGACTGGTACTCTAAATCGGTCGACCAAAATGACCCTGTAACGCAATTTAGCTGCTGAAAATGACACAAGAATAATAGAAATGCATAGGCCCCATTTGGGGCCTTAAAGCTGTCACAACCTGTCCCGAATTCATAGTAAATATAACACATACAACATCCTATCATCCATATGAACATAGCAACAACATAGTCCTTTGTGACCTCAATAGTCAATATAAAATAAGCCAAGTTGTTTCAAAATACATCAAATAAATCATAATTATAGGTTACAAGGACAAGAGATACAATGTTATACAATTTGTACTGAGTTTTACAAATAAAAAAGTTTCTAATACAAACGATAACAAAAATATAGACTTTCAACCCCGTCTAGGCCTATGGTGGATCGTCGTTCGCCACTTCCTTCTCATGCCATGAAAAATATTAATGTAATAGGGTGAGTACAACGGCTTAATAGGAGGTGTCTAAGACACACCTTTTAATGGCCCTATGAATCCACACAAAACACAGAGTAAAAGTCAACGGGATTATGCCATAGGGGAAAAAGCACAACAACGTCAACAATATTAACAATAACTAAAAAAATAGGTCATCCAACCATATGTATACAATGCATGCCAATGTAATGCAATGATATGCTAATGATGCTCCCCGTTTCCAAAACATTTTCGTTTCATCATTCCAAACCGTTAATGTAATCTAACCCATGGCAACTCCATGGCATTATGAGAGGAGGATTAGCTACCTATCCCCGACCACATGGCAACTTTAAGGCGTCGTTTCGAGCCTAGGTAGCTCAACCACGCTAGGGTCTCTCCCTAGTCCCCTCTAGACCACACTAATGCCATGGACCACTGAGCAACTCCTAGGCGCCCGGATTTTCACGAACACTTTTCAAAATATTTTCCCCAAAATCAGTTTCATTTGCTTTTAAAACAACTTTTCCCTTTTTTTCCCAATGGAATGCATGAATGCTTCATGCTTCACGTATGTCATGATCTCATATGATTCAACCTTAACAATATTGCATACTTAATAATAAAATTCACACAAAAACATAACATCTTTACTAATAAAAAAAGTTTCAACAACCAATCATATAGAGTAAGAACACAATCACTTAAGCATGCTTCTCATATCAAATTAACAAACCATACACACACATATCACTTACACATAAAAAGTCACATGGATATACAATTCATATATAACATCATAACAAATTTTTAAGAAATAACCACAATTAAACATGTTATACATAAAAAAATATAGACTGACATTATGTTAAAGAAAGACTAACTCAGAGAAATGGTTAGCCAAGCCATTCTCATCGTCGATTTGACCTCAATATCAACATCGTTCTTGTCATCAGGTCTAATCCTTAAGCACACGTACTACCAATCTCTACGTTTACTCCAGACACATGGTTCGCAACACACGGTCTAACCATCCTCAACACACGAGTCGCAACACAGCTACTAGATAGAACTGCTAACACCATGAGTCTAAAAAGACATACATAACGGTCAACAAGTCACACCTCATGCCGTATCGATCACAGCCTATCGGAACGATTCCCAAAAAACCAAGGACTTCACCTCCAGCTATGGAAGGAAGTCAAACGATCCAGATCAAACCCTCACTCAGGGACCCTAACAAAAGAGGGAACTCTATAAAGTCCTTCTATCTGCTGACACGCATAACTCTTATGTGGAGATACAAAACTCACAATTAATAATGTCCTTACCAGGACCAAATCAAGAAGAGGGAAAAACAAGTCCTTCTCCCGCAACAGAACTGAACACGCACCTATTGATACCTTGCATACGAAATGCCAAGAAAGAGGAACTATATGGAGGCGAAATAGTTCGATCTGTAACTCGTACACCTAGCATCCATAATATAAAATAGTGCCCCTTCCTAAAACACTAGGGGCTAGACAACAGATTCTAGGACATCGCGTCCCATCTTGTCTAAAGAAGAACCTTATAAGCGGAAATCTTGACCTTCCATTCATAGAACCAATTATGCAACACTAAACAACCACAACAATAACCTTTAGAGTAATATGGCTAAAAACATTTCTGTCATCAATCTATTAATAAAACCAACACATAGGAGCTCAACTGCTCATAAAATACATATAGTTATCCAATAAAACTGTCTGTGATTACACACATAATCATTCAAATACATCATTACTTTAATTGATAATGGTCACAACCGGTACAACATTACAACTTGAAACCCATACAAACATCTTGAACTATATCCTGTCCCAAGAGCTCATACACTAACCATCATTAGTATCACCCAAATCTGGAACCACACTGCAGGACATGTCCACCATCTTGGCATAGATAAAATAGATACTGCACAAAAGTGCACAGGCATCCACCCAGTAGTGTACAGGCATCGGCCCAATAGTGTATAGGTATCCATCTAATAGTGTACGGGCATCCGCCCAATAGCATACAAGCATCTACCTAACAGTGTACGGGCATCCTCCCAACAGTGTACGGGCATCCACCCAACAGTGTATGGGCATCCAACCAACAGTGCACAGGCATCCACCCAATAGTGTGCGGATATCCCCCGTTATAACAAGAATCGACCACAGTAATGTCTCACCTTCTCTGTGGACAATCCCTCTTCACATGGCCCGGCTGACCACACTGAAAATGAACTCCAGAACTAGGTCTATCAAGTGGACACTCCGCCTTGCGGTGTCTCACTACAATAAAAGTGACTTTTAGTGACGATATTTTAGCTACAAAATTTCTTTCGTCCCTAAAAGTAGACTCTCAGGGATGAAATTCAAGCTCGTGACTATTTATGTATCTTTTTTGTGACGAATTAGATAATTTGTCACCAATTGGTGATGGGAAGGTCTATACAATGTCGTTTTGATTTCTTTTTATACTTATTTGTGACTAAAATCTCCCCAGGGAAAAAACCAATTCGTTTTTCCCCAACTATCTCCCCTCACTTTTCCTACTATGGCACCATTCTCTGTTCTAATTTTAATCAAACTCTATCATCCCGTCATTCGCTCTCATAGTATCTGCATCACATTTTTTTTTTCCCACTCAAACCCTAGCTTTCTCTCAATAAACAATTTATTATCCTGGAGTCTCCTCGTCACCAATCGGCTGCTCTTAAAGAGATAGAGAGAGTAGAACACTAGGTCGCCAATCGATTACCCTCAAATCTTATAAATTCCACAATCTTTTTATGGAATCCCACTCAACTACTCCCTTCATATTCTCTTCTCAATATTTTTTTTCTTGTATTAATTTTTCGATCTTGATTGCCTTCAATCTCTATCTAATATATGTTGAGAGAATTGCAGAACTGAAATTCTACATGTGATTGGGTCTGACCATCATTTCATGACAGCCCAGGTTTGAAAGTTCCCAAATTATCTTTTCTAAAGTTCTAGTTTTTATATATTTATTTATTTTATATAGTATGATATTCACATAGATAGAGTGATTATTACTGTATTTTTTTTTTCAGTAAGTAAATAAATACAGTGATTATCTTGAAATTGGTTGTTCATATTTTTTTTTCTTCTGATTTCATACCTTATTAGAGGCGATCAATAATTCTTGGCCGTGGTTTGATCACAAGTTCTTAGCCCTTAAATCACTTCAAAAATTCCTCAAATATCTATCAGTTATAATCTTCAAACTAAACATATTACTGTGGGTCTTTACATGCTAGGGTTTTTTTTTTTTTTTAAATTAGCTTTTAAACTCGTAATTTGGGCATCACATACCATTCAATTTTTTTTTTTTTTTTTTTTTTTTTTTTGTTAAATAATTAGCCTTCACAATGAAATCCTATTGTTTTCAGTTTGGTATTCAGTATCAAGAATGATTAACGAGAAATCTCAATGTAGCAATCTTGTAAGGTCAAATTACTTTCCTTTTTTTTTTTCTTTTTTTTTTTTTTTTCTAATAAGGCAGATTAATTAGAGTTTTGCCCACAATTACATGTGATTTTCTGAATGAGATTCACATAATGATTAGTTCTAGTGCCATGCAGCGACCATACATGTGCAGTTTTGTGCTCAAGATAACTTAAGTTATTGGTTATGCACTTAATAGGCTTGTATCTTGTCTGATGTGCCTATTTGTGTGGTGAACTGAGTAAGCTTTTTTCACTTAAATTTTACGACTTTTATCTCTAGATTTCATATTAATTTTAGTCCAATCACACAATTATTTTGATATACATAGCTTCTTTCTTCTTCTTTTTCTTCATCTTCTTCGGTTTTTTTTTTTTTTTTTTTTTTTTTTTTTTCAGCTAAAATGATGATTCTTTGCAAAGTTGGCTATGTTAGACTTGGTTTCCGAAACATAGGCAAGTAAAGTTTTTCAAATTCTTTTTATTTTATTTTATTTTTTGTCATTAATATGTTCATTATGCAATTTGTATGTATAAATTTGATAACTAACGTCTTTGCAATCAGTGCAGGCTTCCCTCTGTTAACCCTGCTTTGTCTACCTTGCTCATGATTACCTTTGTAAGTGACTCAAAAAACATTCAGGTGTTGTTGTTCACAGTCTATCTTCCACACTTTTATTCTTCATCTTGGGAATAGTTTTAATTGATAAAGAAGCTTGTTGTTGCAGTGTTTTATGTATGTCTTTATGAGAAGATTTATTTTTTTTCCTTACCAAAGATTTAATACTTTCCAACATAAGTTATATGGTACTGAGAAATCCCATTCAGGAATGCTTTTTATTTATTTAGTTTCAATAACTATGTTCTTGTTAATGTTTATTGCTACTTTCTTTTTCTAACTTTTATATTAGTACTTTTATTCAAAATTAGGTTATGGTGTCAATGTATATACATATATATTCTTTACTACTCTCTTTTTTTATCTTATTGCACGTGAAATATCCTTTCTCTTATTCTAGTTTCTTGTTTGCTTTACAGAAATAGTAATTGAGTTGTCTGAGAGAGAACTAAAGGTCAGATATTCAATGTGGGTAGCTCTTACAATGAGGTCTTAGTCAAAGCTGAAAGTAAATAATTCAATGTAGTTTTATTATTTTATCCTTTTTTTATGTTGATAATGTGCATTGCTTGGAGGAATTAATTTTAATCAAGTTTATGATTAGGAGAATATTATTTAAATTGTATAGTTTGACTTTCATAGAGCCCTATTGTTCCATTACAGAACTTTTTCCTGTGTTTTGTTGCAGCTACTGGAGTGGAGTGGCTCTTGCTAGAATATTTCTGTATTCAAGGGTGAAGTGCATAAAACTAAATCACTCTTTGTTTTTTTGTTTTATTGTTTTATCTTTGTTGGATCAACTTAAGCCACTACTATATCACTCTTGTTTTATTTCCTTCTTGGCCCTTTGCTAAGTTGTGTATTTTCATTTTTGTTGCAGCTGCTAGAGTGGCTTCATGTGGAATTACTATATTCAAAGGCGAAGTACAAAAAGCCACAAACACAGTTTGAAGAATTTTAAGATTCTAGAAGACTAGTGATAAGGGAACTTTGGGCGTTCCTCCATAGAGGGAGAGTTGGGAGTTTGCTTTTATGTTTTAGTTTGGTCTTTTGTATTATATAATTGGAAATTTGGTTATTCAAATTTATGTTAATTTTGTATTTGAACTCAGAATTATTATGTATTTCATAATAAAATTTAATGTTATGTTTAAATTTGTGTTGCTATATAAAGTTTGAAATGTGTGAACCTGTGTTTCTATTTGAATTTTTTTTAATATTAGCAAAAACAAGCATGCAAAATTGGTTTTTAGCAACGAAAGACATTTGTCATTGGGTGAGTTAGTGACGAAAACTTTCGTTGCTAAATGCAAAACAGATGTGATGAAAAATATGGTTGCTAAAAGATATGCAATAGTAACGAAAATGTTTGTCGCATTTTCGTCACTAAAAGGCAAGCAGATGTGACGAAAAAGTATGGTTGCTAAAAGTCATGCAATAGTGACGCAAATTTTTTAGTCACTAAAAGTAGAGACAATAGTGACGAAATTCTCATTCGTCACTATAGATCAACAGAGATGGTTATATAGCAATGAAACATTGACGAATGATTTTTCGTCATTAAAAACTTTTAGCAATGAAAATTTAGCTTTTTGTGACGAAAAAAAATGTTGCTAAAGGTCACTTTTATTGTAGTGTCTTGGCTTCCTACAATGATAACATACCACACTCTTCCTAGAGGACTTTGGAGACGCACCAACAGTAGGTGTAGCATATGTTGTCCGCCGCTCCTGAGAAAGCAATGAAGCACCTCTGTGCCTTTTCCTACCTTGGCTCCCGAAAAAAACACCAACACTAATAGCTCGTTCCTGAGAACCCATAACACCACTCCTTTCTTGCCAATCTTTGGCTTCTGCCTCTGCCATCAATGCTTTCGTAACAGCTTCCGAATAACTCTTTTACCCCAAAAGCGTCACTCCAGTCTTAATAGAATGATTTAAGCCATGCACAAACTGCCATGTCTTCTTTCCCTCATTCCCTAACACATCCGTAGCGAAACATGAACGAGAAGTGAACCCACCTTGTTCAAGCCCGTCAAACTATATCCTCAATTCCTATCTTTAAGTCTGCAGGAAATACTTATCAAATAAAAGACTCTTGAAAGTACCCCAGATGCAACTTGAAATACAACCCCAATCCACAGCTTCCAAATTCTAAAACACAGTCTATTTGGTAACATAGTACCTATCATCAATCATTTTATCTGCAAATGACCAAGCACTTCAATGACCACATACTACCTGCCTTATTATGCAATCCTGCACTACACAGCTAAAACTGACCACCGTACACCACTTCGAGACTCTATCGATACCCGTGCCAACCTATTACCCTGCTCATCAACCGAGCCATGTAATCAACTCTCCTAGAGTCAATTACCCTAAACACACTCTTATAGCTTCCTGAAATGGGAATCACCCTCGACTAGTCAGTCTCTCAAACAGACTCTTACAAAACCATGAAATGCTTACGTTACTCTAGACTTACAGAGTCCAACAAGTCCCTTTAATAATCATAACCTACACGCTTTCTTAGACCGTAACAGAATACGCAAAATACACATCTACAACCCATAGATTACACTCGTGACTCTAGCAACCTCTATCACACTGTGATCTAAGTCGCAACTAGTAACCCCTAAAAGTCATACGTACCTCATGAAAACCTAAAATCGTACACCTGACCTCCACGATCAAAGGAACCCACACACTAACACATGAAACTCATACGTCTCAACCTGGACACCGCACTGTGCCCATACACAATCACTTAAAAGTAGTGCCCGAAACACCAAAATATAAAACAATAAGAAACTAAAACAACCACACAATACTTAGCTTAATACACAGATACGATACCCAACATACCTGGGGAACCTGAGCTCCTCGCCTACTAGGGTCAAAACTCATACTACCATCTATACCGCAACAAGTACTATACCATACTAACAACCACCCCATACTCAATTGTGTATATGCACATTAGTACTGTAGAGACTGGTTCCTTTTCCTATTTTTACGGATTTTTTTTTTCCGTTATTGTATTTTCTGAGTTCTGGTTTTTGTCCCTTTGGGTCATATTGAGTGCTCAAGAATAGTTCCCGACATTCCTTATATTAGATATTCGTATCATCCTTATGATGACAGTGTCATATTCTCCCCTTTTCCGGCGTCTTTCTTTTCTTTTATTTCTACTTGTTTAATTATTATTTCTTTCTTGTATCCATAAGGTTCTAGAGACCCAAGACAAGGTTTTGTGTTCAGAAACATTTTTTGACCTTGCATGCATTCACCTCATCTTATTTTAATGAAATGTGTAGTCTCACTTTTGTTGAAAAGCATGCTAGCTTGTACTTATATTCCGTAGGGGTATAGATGCATAGTTTCTTCGAAAACATTTTCACTTTTTGGGGTAATTTGTGTAATTAACTTTTTGAGATATTTTGTCTTGGGACCTTTTTACAAATAGTATTTGAGATATTTGGAAGAGGGACTAAGTTGTAATTTTGGAAAAGTGTGATAAGTGTCACACTTTCCTTGGGTACACTTATCAACTTTTGGATGAAGCACTTGGAGGCTTAGGATGAAGATAAGTGTAGGTGTGTGATTTAGCCTTGTAAAGAGGCCTAGGATCTTGACAAGTACAAGGTAAAGACTATTTGATGGCTCTTGGTTGGTGCACCTGTTAGCCTCAGATTTTGACAAATGTAAAGCCTAGATTTTACCTTATGAGGAAGCTTAATATGATGACAAGTGGAGGGGTGGGATGAAAGTGTGTGTGTGAGAGGTAGTGCTAGTGTAGTGAAAGTGTTTGTAGAACCCTAAGTTAGTGGAAAATCATGTGATTTTCCACTAACTTCATCTTCTTCCTCCCATCCTCTCTTGGCCACCATTGAACCCTAAGTTATAACCTTGAATACAACCATCTTCCCTTCACCATTGAAGGCATTTAGCTTCCTTGGATCATCATCTTAGAGGCCTTATTCTTAGAATTTCCTTTACTTCGTTTTCCTTGGATTCTAAAGGAACAATCCTCTTGTGAGGTAGGGGTTGCATTATGTTTATATCCTTAGTGTCTTAATTGTTTTTGGGTAATATATATTTTATACATGCTTGTAGAATTGTAGTCTTGCATATAGATGGAAATCATTTATTTTTAACTTAGGGTTTTAATTAATTCAAGGCATGTGTGGTATATATCTTGTGTAAATTATTTATTTCATTTAGAAGATTACTAAATTCTTGTAATTTCATATTGTTGTGATATGGTACTCTTGTGATTTATTACTAATATTCACCTTGCAAACTTATTACTATGTTGTTGTTGATTTAGTATTTAAAGCTTACTATGAGGTATGATTAGTTTGATAAATTGATAACATTATATTGTGTAACAAATCACATATTGAGAACTTGACATTTTGTATGCCATTTTAGACTTGAAACCCTAAGACATGGATTGTGTAGTTTCAACCCTATTTATGCATGGAAGGTGGTTTCATGCATGGCTTACTTGTGTATAAGTTATAAACTTATTGTTGATTTTGGAAACATTTGGGACATTGTTACTTTGACATCGCTAGGGTTTGGTCCTAGTGGGAAAGGTACGAGTTCTCTCCATTTAGTGTGCACATGGGTGGTTCCCGACGAGTTAGTACTTGAAATAACTGAATACGTCTTGGTTAAATTCCGGGATTTGATGTCCAAGATTTTCGCTATTTGATTTTGCATTCAATTCCAAGTTGACAACCAATGCTTAATTATAACTTTTGGTTTTGGTATTTGAGTTTCTAAAGTTATTTAGTATGCTTATACATTGTGTATAATACTTAAATTGGTTTAAAGTAGCTTAAGATGATTCATTAGTTCACCATGAAATTAGACGTTAGGTGGCATGACCCTAATGTATTTGTTTAGATTGATCTTGCAGAGATATTAAAACTTTAGGATATACGCATACTCATCTTCCTACGAGTAATGAAAGTTACTCACCTTAGTTGATTGGGTCTTTTTCAAGAAAGGAGATGTTGTTCTTGGATGCTCATCATCCCTAGCTTGGCTTGGTTGCATTTGGATTACTTTTGTGTACATTTATCAAGCATGTGTTAGCATGTTTTACTTACCTTTTGTTGTTGTAAAGTATAACTTGTTAGGAGCATGGCTTACTTCTTTTTGGATATGTAATGTAAGCTTAAGTAACTTATTTTGATTATACTTCAACATATACGTAATGAGGCCAAGGGCCAATCTTTTTTGATAAATAAAATGTATGATGGAATTTCAGCATGTTTCATTTTCGTGACCTATTTTATCTTGGGGGCATTTTGGGCATTTCAAGTTGCATTTTAATTTTGGTTTAGACCATAGTTGATTAGAAAACCCATTTTTAGGAGGGTTCATTTCACAAAGGTTTTCCAAAATAATCTATTTTTGCTTCAAAAAATAGGCGTTTTTGAAAACTTCACGGTCGCAGCCAACCTAGTCACGATAGATAGCAGATTCGGCGATCGATCGTCGGGCATCTTTTTGGTCAAAAATCATTGTTCGTGGATTCTGCGATTGATCGCAAAAATGGCGATTGATCGCATTGGGCACTTCAACTTTAAAAAATCTAAAAATTAGCTACTGCCCATCGACATGGATTCAGCGATCGATCGCCGAATTCTGCGATCGATCGCACTAGTCACAGTCTTGTTATTTTTATAAAAAAAAAAAAAAAACATTAAGGTTCCATAACTTCTTCGTCCGGACTCTGAATCAAGCGATTCTTGACTCTAGATTTATTAATTTTTCGTCATCTATCTAATCGTATACACGGCAGCATCTATTTCAGTGTGAAAAGACCATTTTACCCTTATAGGTACAAATTGTTCGTTTTAAAAACTTAGCTTCCGCATTCGTTTATTTTGAGTCTTATAACATCTCGGGAAGTTATTTTGGCATCTTAGAGATGATATTCATCTCTAGAAACCACTTCTTTTTCTTTCACTTGCTCATTTGGGATCCTTTATCGGGTTAGTTTCGGGTCACTCGCTAATGCACCGGGTTTTGTAAAACTTTGGCAATCTGATATATATATATATATATATATAATAACGAGGACATAAACCTTGACACAACCGTGTCCCATTACATTAATTTAAACAATGAGTCCATTAAATCATTATGTGAAAT